CTGCTGAAATCAGTGTAATGCTGATATATCCCCATTTTCTGTTTTATACCAGATCTTCAGAAAAGGGATTTCTACTTCCTTACCTCCAATTCATTACTGTTTTTTTTTTTTTCCATATTGACTTGATGTATCTCTCTTCATTAAAAATATGTATTTGTAACAAAGAATGCCACTCCCTACCCCCTACCGTGTCCCCCATCACCCCTCTACAGCAAAGGCTACTTTCTGTGATTCTGTAGTTACTGCAGACAGATGTGTGCACAAACAGCATAGACTATTATTTTGTTTTTTGAAATTTTGCAAGAAGATAAGCGCAACATGTGATACCTCTTATGTGTATTTTTCCGTTTAAACACGTCAGTACACACACATGGAGTTCATCTGGATGGCTGTATAGTACTGTGTTGTATGGATAACCCACTCTTGAGCTGTTCCCCTCCTGGGGATGATTTGTTTCTGCTTCCTGTCTCTCTCATGCAGGGCTGCAGTGGAATGTGCCTCAAAGCACATGGCCGCTCTACTTGGTGTTGCCACATTGCTCCCCAGAGGCACCATAGCTTCACCTTCCCTTGGGACTGTGTGAGAGTTCTCAGTTCCCTCCATCCTTACCAAAATCTCACACCTGGAATCCCAGCACTTAGGGAGGCAGAGGCAGGAGGATGCTTGAGCCCAGGAGTTCAAGACCTGCCCGGGCAACATGGCAAGACCCCATTCGCCACAAAATGGAAAAAAAAAAAAAAAAAGAGATAAAACTGGATGATAGAGGACCTTTACGTTTTTGCCAGTTGTTGCTGTATTTAAGATTGCTCATTTTAGATTTCAGTCCCTTAAAAACAAGTGAGGATAAACATCTTTTCATGAGTTTGTTAGCCATTTGAGTTTTCTCTTCTGAAATTACCTATTCATATGCTTTTAAAACTGGGCTTTTTCTTACACATTTTTAGGGTTTCTTGATATGTTCTGAATGCTGCCTTGGTTGGCTGTATGAATTCTGAGTACCTTCTTCAGGCCTCTTACTTGTGTTTTCACTTCATTTATGGTAGCTTTTGGCATATTACAGCTTTTAAATTATAAAGTAGACCAACGTGTGTTTTCTAGTTTGTACCTTATGTTTCTTATTTTAAAATATTTTGCCACCCCAGTGCCAAAAAGGTATTCCTTCTGTATTTTGTGCAGAAAGACGTACAATTTTATGAACTCTATTTGAGTTCTTATTCCATTGCAAGTTTATGTTTGGTGTCAGGAAGGGGCCCTGTTCTTTCTCTTCCTCGTGTATAGCCCATGTGCCCCTTCCCTCCTAGTCTACCCATGTCTGCTGAATACCAGGTGCCCTTACACTAGGGATCCTATTTCTAAGCTCTTGTTCTCTTGGTCTATTTAAGTAACCCTAGATAAAGACCACACTGTTTTAGGTAGCCCAACTTTATAGTATGTCTTGAAATCTGATAGGACTTATGTTTCTTTAAAATTGCCTTGCCTTTTCTGGATTTTTTATTTCTTTGTCTTTTAACTCTTAATTGTGATGTATAACACAAACTGTAACTGTCACGAAGCTGTGTAAATCACTATAAAGCAAATATATCCATAATCCACTATGCAGGTAGAGACCATGCCTGGCCAGCCCCGCAGCCCATGGTGCCCCCCTTCCTTCCCACCTCTCTCCTGTGACCCCTTTCCCCTTCTTTCGCCCTCCCTTCTGTGACCCCTCCTAGCACACACCATCATCATCTTTGCGCTTTGCTGTCTCGTTTTACTGCTTAGTGTGTGGTTTAGGTTAATTCATTCACAGAAGTGGAATCATGTTTTCAGGCTTTGGGTCGGGCTTCTTTCTCCCAACATGGTGTTTTTAAAAAGCAAACCTTAAGTATTCGGCATGAATTTGAGGACTGGCATTTACGTTCCAACAAAACACCCTGTTAAGATTTTATTTTGAATGATATTTAATTTACATATTAATTTGATGAAAATTGGTATCTTAACAGTTTTGCATCTTCCTATTCATGGAACTGGTATCTTTATTATCACTAGGGTTGGTTTTGAAAAAATATCCCTTACTATCTTTTTCGTTTTTTTCTGTCAAGGCCATATATATATAAAATACCCAAGTATCTTATAGTTTTTGTTGCTGTTATTTGCTAACAGTTTATTTTTTCTTTCCAAACAGTCTGTATTTTATCCCTGGTTGCTTTTCTTTTAAGGATTTCTTTCTTTTGTTTCACCACAGTGAATCTAGATGTAAATTTCATTTTAACATTCTTTTAGGGACTGTTGCACTTTTATCCTGAGGATTTATATTCTTTATTTATTCTAGAAAACTCTCAGCTGTTTATCTCTTTAAATATAATATCCATATTCCCTCTGTTGGCTTCTTCTGGAACCCCTATGCTGACAGCCCCATGAGATGCACATAGTCTGTCTGTGCAGAGGCCTTGGCCTTCCCTACCCACATGGACCCTCCTTGATTCATGCCCTGCAGAGCTTTCCCTTCTCTCTGTGGAGGAGAGAAAGGGTACATGGAGCATGAGGAGGAACTGGGGTGCCTCTTACCCAGACTTAAGTAACCCTCCTTCCACAGGGCCTAGACCCTCTAGTCCAGGGGTATCTAGTCTTTTGACTCCTCTGTGACACATTGGAAGAAGAATTGTCTTGGGCCACACATAATATACACTAACACTGATGATAGCTGATGAGCTTTAAAAAAAATTGCAAGAAAATCTCATAACTCTTTTTGGTTTTTTTGTTTGTTTGTTTTTGTTTTTTGAGACAGAGTCTTGCTGTGTCGCCCAGGCTGGAGTGCAGTGGCACAATCTCGACTCACTATAACCTCCACCACCCAGGTTCAAGCGATTCTTGTGCTTCAACCTCCTGAGTAGCTGGGACCACAGGTGTGCACCACCACGCCTGGCTAATTTTTGTATTTTTAGTAGAGACGGAGTTTCACCATGTTGGTCAGGCTGGTCTCAAACTCCTGACCTCTTGTGATCCACCCACCTTGGCCTCCCAAAGTGCAGGGATGACAGGTGTGAGCCACTGCTCCTGACCTTGTAATGTTTTAAGAAAGTTTACAAATTTGTGTTGGACCACATTGAAAGCTGTCCTAGGCCACATGTGGCCCATGGGCCTCAGGTTGAACAAGCTTGCTCCAGTCCCTGTGCTTGTCTGAGTCCCACAGGACTCTCTGCAGGCATTTGGACTTAGCTGCTTATATGCAGAGTGGTTTATAATCACTTGATAAGCTTTCTATTTTGTTGGCATGGTTGAGGATTAGTTTCTAGTTTCACGGACCTTGGAGTTTGTTTCTGTCTTCATTTTCTTTGTTGTCTTATACTATTTTTGAGAGAAGGGGCACAGAAATTATTTGAAACCAGAAGTTGTCCACCATTTACTCTTCAGCCCTCTACAGTTTGTCTTTGGTACCAAAACTGTTCTTGTAAACACCTTGTTTATCAAACACCTCCATTTGCGACATCCAGTGGCTAGTTCTGTCTTACTTAGCAGCTACATTCGATGTAGCTGACCATCCCTATCTTAAAACACTTCTTAGCTTGAACTCTTCTATTTCCTTTCTCTTCACTGGCAGCCCCGTCTCAGATTTCCTTACTGGCGTTTCCTACTCTGTCCGTCCGTAGAATATTAGTACACTCCTGGGTTCAGTCCTTAGTCCTGTTCTGTCTTCTACTGTATCTCCCCCACCCCCATTTTATCTCTTCTAGTCCCATTACCCTAAATGTCACATCATATCCAGTGACTCCGAAATCCTTATCTCCAACTTTTCCTTTAGTTCTAGAATTACATAGCCACTTGCCCACTCAGTGGCCCCCCAAGATACCTGATAGACACTCCCAAGCTCAGGCTGCACAGCATCTGCTGCTTTCTCTGCCTGAAGTGTTCTTTCCCCAGTTTGTCAAGTCATGGGCACCCCATCATCCTTAAGATCTTCACTCAAGTATCGCTTTCTCCGAGGGCACCCCTGATGTCCCCTGCCGCCCCCAGAGTAGGTTCATGCCCCAAGTCACTTTCTTTCTTTCCCAGTACTTGCCGGAAATAGTTTCACGTGTTGACTGGATTACTGCCTGTTCTCCACATTGACTGCTATAAGCCCTGTGAGAGTGGGGCCTTGCTTATCTTGTTCTCTGCTGTATTCTAAGTTCCCAAAACAGTGCCTGGTGTGTAACACAGTCTCAAAGAATTCTTTCCAATTCATCAATTTAAATTTTATTATTAAAACATTGAAGTATACTTACATTAGAAAGTTGTCAAATATGTTCTAATTTGATCTTCTAATCCTAAGAATGAAATTCACATCAAGATTTTTTTTTTTTAAACAAAGGAATAGCCATAGTCATTTTTAGCTAGAAAATCATAGGAAGCCTTGAGACTTCTGTAACCTTACATTATAAATGACCTTCAAGATGAAGACAGGGTTGGTTTATAAATGGAATTGTTCATTGCTAACTAATGTTGGTGAGAATTTTAAATATCTAGAAAAATCAGTACTTGAAAAACTGATTAAAACACTATGTAAATAAAAACCAAGATTTTAGATTGTGTTTATTCTCTGATAAATTGATCGTGTGACTGGGTCAGCTGAGACATGGCAGTTGTTTTCTGCTGGTGTCTCTGCGATGGCCATCTGCCAACAAAGGTAACCACAGAGTCAGTACAGTGTGAAAGTGTTTCAATAATCAGATCTCTTACACCTTTTTAAAAAATGAAGACAGTGTCTTGACAATCTTTTACCTGAACTTTGTATACTAAATGATTAGAATTTTGCTAGCTCTTCTAATTCAATAAAAAACAATTTTGTTTTACTGAGTAAATTCAGTTTTGTGTTGATTTGTACTGCTTAGTGTTCTGTGGTAGAGGATTTTGCTTATTGCCTAACACGCTGTGACTAAGAAGAACACTATGTGCAGTGTTTGGAGGCTGCTGATTTTTGTGTCATGTACATTTTTTAAAATGATACATTTAATCAATCACATTGGACGTTTTTCTTTTAGATGTCCGGTCTGTGCTACAACAGCAAAATGTTCCAGGTGCATCAGGTGCTCTGCATCCCCAGCTGGATGGCAAAATTCTTTTCTTGGACACTTGAACCCATCTTCTCTTCTTCAGAACCCACCAGCGAAGCCAGAATTGGGATGGGAGCCACGCTAGACATCCAGAGACAGCAGAGGATGGAGCTGCTGGACCGGCAGCTGATGTTCTCTCAGTTTGCACAAGGGAGGCGACAGAGACAGCAGCAGGTAAAAGTGATAATAATCACTAAAAATTTAGAAATTCTCAGTGGCCCCAGCAAATCTTTCCTCTGTGATTGCATGTGAGATAGAGACTACATTTTTTCCAGTGCCTTGCAAGCGGATTTTGACATTTCCAAAGAGAATGTAGGTCTCTGTTAGTGGCGATTCTTAGTTTTTTAAGAAGGTAAAAAATAAATTGTAGCTGAAAGATTGGTCAAACTGGACATTCTTTTTCCACCTATATTAGATAAGCATGACTTCTTAGAGAAACACCAACCTAGTTAACAAGATGTGCTATTTATCTGTTTTTATAATCTTGTAAAAGCCACAGTGTCTTCCTGTTAAAATGCTAATCATATGCCATGAAGTGAAGAACAAATGTAAAACTTCTTGATTTTCCTTAATTGAAATGAAGAGAATATGAAGGTAAGAAGATTTTCAATGGAACAACCAAGGAGTAGATTTTAAATATGCTGTGTTTTCTCAACCTTGCTGTCAATCATCAGAAACTATTGCACATTTGTCTACAAATACTGCATCCAAACAATCTGATACCACACTTGTCTTCCATGGGCAGCGAGGGAAGGAGGGTTAGTGCACATCAGGCTAAAACCTCAGGTCTGATCTGTCTAGGACACTTCTGTGAGCCAGCCTACAGGGCTCCCCATTTTTCGCCTCTACCTTCTTTACCCCTGGGGTAGTTGTAAACCATACAATTACCTCTGCCATCTCTCTGTCTCCCACTAGCATTAGATGCAAGAAGTAGGTCTGCAGATCTCACGATGGTTTGGAGAAGTGAAATCAGGTTTGAGGTCCTTAGAGTCTCATTGGAGATGCAGGTCCCAGAGTTTATATTGGGATGGGAGGAAGGGGGCACCTTATCAGGTGCAGAGTCTACAAGAGAAAGACAGAAGCAGAAGTTGTTTCTTCAAGATGTGCTTGAATTTGAGTGACTCTGGAACATGCCATAAAGATGCTCATGATGTATTTAAAGCTGGAGGATGGACATCTCTGTCTTGGAGATGTGGAAGCTACATATATATGTAGGTGATGGAGTCACCTCTGTAGGGGTGAGAGCTGAGAGCCGAAAGCAAAGAACTAATAAGTTCTGTAAGAGAAGAACTACATCCAAAGTGAACACAGGCTACAGATGAAGCCTTGTATTTAGCAGGAGGTAAATCCTACAAGGAAACAGAGAAGAGCGAAAGGTATGAGAACTCAGAATGATCAAGGTCAGAAAAACTGAGTAGTGATTGAGTATAAAGGCAGAGGCACAGAGCTTATGAGGGGGTGTTCTGATGTTTCTGGCCTAGATAATCTTGAAGATAGAGGACTGATAGTTCCATTTCACCAATATCAAAAGAGCAGATTTGGGGGAAATATGTTGTCTGAGATACCTTGGGAGTCCTGGGAGGAGATTCTCCATTGGAGAGCTTTGAATTTGTACTCATAAGCAAACCAGAGAAGCTGCATTTCTCAGATTGGCCTCCTCAGGAAGATTTTTATACAAGAAGTTTAAGAGAGAACACTGTCAGCATACAGTCACATCGCAGGGTTAAGGCTTCAGTGTGTGAATTTGGGGCAGGGGCAAGGGGTGGGGGACAATGTGTTCCATAACACTGCAGGGTGGAAAGGGCCCAGCATCATCTCGGCGCTGCGTGACTGTTCTGCTTGCGGACGGTGGTTATCCGGTGCATGCAGTCTCTGTGGGTGCCAGGTTGGATGCTCCATAGTGGCAGGAGATAGGTCGGTCTGGGTGAGGGGACCGCACATTCCTCTGTGCCGCCACCGTGGCCATCCATTCGTGTGCCAGCACTGGGTTTTCTGGCGATGGAGCCACGGCCATTCTGCCCACCTTCCACTTGGTGCCTTTTCGGTGGTGGATGCCCCTGGTGGGCACTACCTGCAAAACACTTGATGCTGCTGTTCCTCTAGCTGGGTCCTCCTTGTGCCCTTCCTTCCAGTCCCCTGACCGGCCAACCAGGTGATCTGCCATGCCCAGCAGATCCGCACGTGTGATTGCCTCAGGCCACTTCTCTTTCCATTCAGAGTTGGTGACCAAATGTGCTGCCCGGGCTCTGCCCATAGGGGTTCCCCTGATCGTTGTCTTTCAAGATCGAGCCATCATGCAGCTGTTTCCTCCAGCTGCCACTCATGTCCTGAGCCAGCCTATCCATTTGGCTGTTTTCCCCTCTGTCACTTGGTCATGAGGGGCCCAACCGCTGTGGCAGTCGGTGTTAGCTGGGAAGAGGCTGTGGTGCAGCAGAGGTGGCTGCCAGGGTGGTCTGGCATGTCTGCTTCTGCAGCTCACCCATGCCCTGCAGCCCCACTCATGCTGAGCCCAGATGCCCATGTCCATCTGGTGACGGGTTTCTGTCGGCCCGCCTGGCTTGGTAACGTGGTGGGTCTCCACTGCTGACCACATGCTCACGTTACGGCCTACGGACAGGCACTTCGTGGTGCAGCAGTAGTTTATACAAGTGGGATTCTTGGCTGCGTGCGCACGCCCTCGCTCCAGGACCCTATGGACCCACATTATGGTTCTCCTTTCCTGCCTTGCTGTAAACTCCGCACAGTGTCTTTCCCCACCCCAGATACTTGGAACATCATGGGATCTACCAGCTTGCACCCAGGCCTCAGGGAATGAGACAGACCCAAATCCCTGCGCTGCTGGAGCGTGCATTCCCACCAGGCGCCTGTGAAGTGGCACGGGCCTTTATGGCTGTCCGTACTGCTGTCAGACTCCTCCACTTTCATAGGATGGTCTCACCAACAGGTCTGAAGTCCAGAGCAGGACACCAGCCCCTGGGCCTTTGCCGGGCTTTTACATTGAGTGGTCTGCTGGGCAGTACAGACCAGACTTGATTTTTTGCTAAGCTTACTTCTAGGGTCTGCACATGGATACACCCAAAACTCAGTGCTTAGCCTCCTGCTGAACTTCTTCACTCAGCTGTGTCTCAATGTTATTCACATAAGTGTGATAAATCACCACATAGAGAACTCTTGTTAAACCACCACTGGAAATTATCTGCCGTGTTTGTGTGCATGCACGAGTACTGTACAGGGTGCAGTTGTATCGGAATGTAATACCTGGGGAAAAGTTTATTTTGATTTTCGTTTACTTTTCAACAAATAAGTACTTAGTGCTTATTATATGCTAGGCCTAGGGCTGGACATTGAGGACACAGGTATAAGAAAGATAGCCCCTAGTCCTTTTTCTTATGGAGCTTGGGTCCTGTCTCTCTTGCAGAATTAGCATGTTTCACTCTTTATCAGTAAAAAGACCACCACCATTTATTGTGCCAGTCCTATGGTAAGTACTCAGTATATGTTATCTCATGTATGCCCAGTGTGCGCCTAGAGAGATGCAGGTGTTCCCTCATTTCCCCGGAGGCTCAGGGGAGTGCTTGCTTGTCCAGGGGCAGCTGCTGATGGGGATCTGGGAGTGAGATCCAGCTGTGTCTGACTCTGAGATCTCTGTTTCTGATCCCTAACTCATATACCTCCCAATATGAGAGCTCCTTGGTGATTTTTTTTCCCCCCTTTTCACTTTGGCTGGCAGGAAACTCAGTGCCAGGCTTCAGGTTTAATTAGGGTTAAGTTAGAACTTTGGCTTCCATCTTCTTCTTTATGTTTCAAATGTATGTTTTTGTTGTTTGCTGCTGTATCTTTTATTGTAGGCAATCTCATACTGTGTATTTCATTTAAAATGCAGCTGTTATTTATTTATTTAAAAACTGTTGATTTTTAGATGCTTTTCATAGAATCTGAGTTTATTTAGTCAGAATGTCATTTTTTTCAGTTACTAACTACCGTATGTTACACATGATCTGTCTGCAGTTTTTCATTTCAGGTATTCCAAAATAACACTCAAGTCTTGATTCAGTGTTGTATTTCTTTAGATTTCTCTTGCCTGCTTATGCCAGAGTTCATCCTGCCATCTGGCAGGTGCTCGCTGCCACCCCCTGCCACGTGCTCCTCACGTGACTCTGGGGGCACAGACTGCTTGGGAAGCTCTCTGACCAATACTGGTGGCTTCTCTGTGGGCACAAAAGAAATGAAGAACATGTCCTTTCCCTCCATGAGTTTGTGGCCAACTTCAGGGAGCTCAGGCAGTTGTACTTGAAATAGATGACCATCCAAAGACAAGGAAATATTTACTGAAGCATCCATGCAGTGAAAAGCTGAGGAGAGAGCCACTGGTGTGGACTGATGCTGCCAAAAAAGATTTCAGGAAGTAGAAGGACAGGTGGAATTTGGATGGGTGGAGAGGGTAAGGCACATCATTCCAGAGGAGAGGACCAGCAAGAGTCAGGCCTGGAGGTGCTAATGAGACCCTAAAAAGGAGAGGCTTCCAGGAGGCCTGTGACTGACATGTGGGCAGATATGTAGTGAGAAATGGGGAATGATCTAGTAACTCGTAATGGAGGGAGGTAGTTTAAACCTGACAGTAGATTTCAGCTTGGACATTGGTTGTGAAAAATGGTTTATTCAGTAACAAAGATAGGACAGTTATCTCAGAAAAATGTCATTTTATTGCAGTGTGTAAGATGGACAGGGGAAAGGAGAAACCCCAGAGGAGGAGACAAATAGAAGGAGGTTTCTAAAGCCCAGCTCTCAGAGGAGTGCTTTGGCTGGGCTGATGCTGAACTTTGGATTGAACTCTTCTTCCTCTGTTCACTCCTTAAATAGGTTGTTTCCCAAGACTCAGTTCTCTGCCTACTGAGCTTTTCATGCTAGACACATAAGGGGACCCACTCAGCCTCTGTCCTCACCACTTTGTTGAGCTCATGGCTCTTGTGAGTCCCTCAGGATCCAGAGAATGGACCTCCCTCTCTCCTGGGGCCCCAGACCGAAATATCCTACTGCCTGTAAGACTTCTCCACTTCAGTGTCCCATCAGCTCTTGACAGGTACCGTTTCTTTTTTTGTTTGTTTTGTTTTGAGACAGAGTCTCGCTCTGTTGCCCAGGCCGGAGTGCAGTGGCGCAACCTTGACTCACTGCAA